CCCCAAAACCCCAAAACCCCAAAACCCCAATAGTAAATATTTATTGTAAATATCTAAAAATAAAGTAAAATTCAATTTGATATAATTTGATTGATCACCTTATAACTACAAATGTCTTGATTAAACATGAGCGCAAAAGCAATTCATTCCTTCAGGAATATGGCTATGACTCCGCCTGCCATGCAGAGTATAATCATTATGCATATCTAGACCTAGTCTTCAAGCTTTAATATCGTTTCATAGGTAATTAGTCCAGTTATTCCTGCAAAGAAATTGCATACTCCAAATGTAGTTGAGGAATACAAAACTGGGAATACCTCATTCGATAGATATATCCCAGAGTAGGTAATACTAATGCCAAATCTAGCTGAGTAAGAGGCAATCATCTCAATGTTACCCTAGTTCGTTAGCATCAGACTGCCTGCAATGGCTGCAAACATATAGCTAAAGAAAAATAGCTTTTTGCCTGTTACTTTTTCATAGATAACCTCTCCCAGGATATAGGCTGGTAATTCCACACAAGCACCAACTATGTCACTTTTGTATTAGTCTCCAGGGAAGTAATTAGAGTGTATTGTTATAATGTTATAAGTGCAAATAGTGACCATCCATAAAAGCACATTAACTACTAAATTCTTCACCAATACTTTGTCCTTCATAAATTCCCTAATTCCTGTCTTCAAACTGTTTTTTATCTTTGTGGACCTTGACAGTTCATAATCTATTTCTCTGCTTTTTTGGTAATCAGACCCAGCTGTGATAATACTGAAATTAATCTCTTTAAGTTAATGCTCTAAATCAAATGAATAAGTCTAGCTTAGTTCTCTCCCGTTGAACCAAGCAATATAGTTGCATATATACTTGCACTGAGAGAATTTGTGATAGCTATAAAGATACTCAGGGGTTTCTGGGATAAACCAGAGACCTATTATGCTTAGACCACTGATAGCCACTCCGAATATCTGTAAGTACAGCCAATTCTTGCTAAATTCATAGTAGGCTGCCACAAAAATTGTAGTTATGCTATCCTAAATAAGCAGTAAAGTTGAGACATGGTTTTTGTAATTGGTGTGCACGAACTCTGAGATGTTGATGAAGCAGCCATTGTATCTGCCAACGCAAGTTACCCCCAGGAAAAAACAAAGAGCAGTGTTTAGCTCGACTGTTTTGGAGAATAAGAGAGCCATGTATAGTGGGAATTGAAAGATCATGCAGAGCATCAAGGGAAACCGTCTGCCTATCTTATCAGTTATTCTAGGAATGAATAAACATCCAAAGGCATAGCCACAATAGTACATTGAACTCAGCAGGCTTGTCTTCTTAGGAGGTGCGCCTAAATGATAATAATGAGTTATAAGCAATTTATACAGTTCAGATTGAATTCATTTATCCAGTTGTCTAGTGAATTAGGGTCGTACCAGTCTATCTTCCATGAACCAATCTCACAGGCTTCGTCCTTAGTGCAACTTTCATAATCGCTTCCAGGAGTCTTGATACATAAATAAGCCGGGTCTTAAATTAGATAGGTTGAAGAGTAAGCAAGGATACTTCCAGATATAAAACTCAGAGAAAAGACGACACTCATGTATATTTGAAATCTACCTACCATATCATTAATAACCGTAATGGCAATAAGGTAAAACTTAAAAGGAGACAATCAATGACTTTATTTCCTTATTAGAAAGTATTACTTACCAAAACCTCCTGCTTTTTAGAGCACTTTATCAAGACTAAGGACATTCATGGTAATAGAGGACTCAAGAATCCTAGACTTTTTATCGTCAAAGTAGTCATCCTCCAGTCTGACTGTGGTAGTTGCACAATCATCATCGTCATACTCTACAGGTTCCATTAAATATCTACTTAACCTTATATTATAACTTAATTAGAACTTTATTATATTTTGTTCATGAATATCTCTTTAATATAAAAGTTGCAAATTATTCTTAAATTTATTGCTTGAGGGGTTTTGGGGTTTTGGGGTTTTGGGG